TGGTGGGCGTGGTGGGAGGAGGAGGGAGGGGGGGGGGGGTAGTAAACGAGCGGATACCTCGCCTGTCATGTTCCATCCCGTTCCCACCTGTGGAACCTCGGCATGGGGCGTCTAATAGCTCAGTCTGGCACATGGTGCCCAGCCGCGCTTTACACTGCTCCACCCCCTCTCAAGCTACCCCTCCATACTCCTCCCTGAACCCGAGAATACTCCGGTGCTCCTCCTCCACAGGCAGCCACCATGATGCGCGAGTCTTTGTACACCGCCGGCTACCTCGGGGTGGCCCCATTGCTGAAGGCCAAGCTGACGGGGCACTCTGCGTTTGAGGGGACCCCCGGTGCGGCGCTCGTCGTGTCCGGCGTATCGGCCGGCATCCTCGCCACGCTCACCAGCCACCCTGCAGACACCATCAAGACGCGGATGCAGGTGGGGTGCCTGGGGAGGGCACAGGGAGGGTGGCATTACAAGGAATGGAAGGAGGTTTGGGTTGAAGACAGAAGCTGATGAGCAGCGATTGCATAGAGATGGGCTGTGGGTTCTCTTCCTACAGTCGGTGGTATGGAGAGACCGGCTCGGCAGCGCAGAGGAGGGCAGTCGCCCATCACTGCATCCTACCTCGGATCGGGTGCCTGGCTTGTGGCACGCCCAGTTGTGTGCTGCAATGAGACACCCGGCCACCAGCCGACCAGGGACTCCTCCCCGCGGTCACGCCACCCACTCTCCTGAGAGCCCGCCCCCCTGCATTCAATCCCGCCGCAGGCCCACCCAGACAACACGGCATTCCCTCATTATTCCAGCGTGGCCTCCACGGCCCGCCACATCGTGGCCACCGAGGGCTACGGCGGCTTCTTCGCGGGCGTGCTCCCCAGGACCTTCAGGCTGATCGGGGCGGTGTTCATCCTGACAGGCATCCGCGGGACGCTGGTGGACGCGATCGAGGACGCGCGCTATGCGGGGTCCAAGGCGGCCTCACAATAAATCGGGCGCCAGGGGCTGACCTCGTACCCCTTATCAAGCCCGCCATCTCATTCTTTTTGCCCCCTCAGAGCTCGTGTGCCTTGCATGGCCTGTCCCCCGGATTCCCTGCTGCCTTCTCTTGCAGTTTGCAAAGGCCAAATGCCTCTTGACAGTTCCCGCTTTCCAAGCCGAGAAGGGCCCCACGGTCAGGCAGCTTCCGGCCAATGCCCCCCGTCCCGCGAATCAGCGCAAGGGAGGTTGATGGGCGCACATCAGATTGTGCAGGCCGGCCCGCGAACCGTAATGACACACACGCCCGCATTCCAGCACATCTGAGACTTTCATCTGTATTTGGAAGGGCCGGGACGGCAGTCGCCAAGGATGGCGACCGAGACCACACCCCAGAACGCCTGGGTGGAGAGTTATCTCAATGCCCGTGAGTGGGAGGGTGCAGGGGATGCCTGCGCAATGCACCTCCCCTGTAGAATCCATCGTCATTCACAAGAACCTGAGTGCGCATGCATCGCTCCCCGCAGTCCTCACGTACGGCCTGTCCTCCGAGTACGCCGGGGAGACCAAGACCGCGCAGTCCAAGAAGGCCCCCGAGTCGGATAGGTCGACATACAACAGGTACATCGCGATGGTGCAGATGCCCGATTGCAGGCCGCAATGGCTGCCGGTTGGGTAGGGTTTCCGCCCATGCATGCATGCATGGGCATAATACCCTATGGGTGGGGGAAGCGACTGGCACGCATCTCTCACCACCCCTCTCCCACGATGTGCAGATTCTACGTGCAGAGCCTGCTGAACCTGAATGAGGAAGCCCTCAGCGCCGCATGGCTGAAGGTGCATGGCAAGGGGGTGGGCGGCTGGGGTGTTGGCTGCTGTGGGCTGACGAGTGGAAAGGGCGACAAACGGGCCTGAGGCCCTCCTCCCTGCAAGACCCTGGCACGGGCAGGCTTAGGAGAGGAGCAATGGTCTACACCGCTCTGACTGCGCATGATGCACTCCCCTCTGATCGTTTCCATACTCTTCCACCCCCCTCCAAACCCTAGGCCGCATCTGTGACCAAGCACGGCAACGACAAGGACGCCCGCCTGCAGTACCTCTCCTGGCGCATCTGGTTCATGAAGAAAAAGCACGCCACCGTGGTGCGCTCCCGGCCGCAGGAGGTGGTGGAGGAGGACTCCGGCATCCACTCCCCCGAGGAGCTGAGCGAGGACGAGGGGTCCGCCGCGGGCGCGGGCGCGGCGGGCGCGCCCGGCGGCGAGCCGCGCGCAGGGCGCCCCGCGCGCCGCTCCGCCTCCTCGGCCAAGCTGTCCAGCGCGGTGCCCTCCCCCTCCCCCGAGCCGCGGCCGCTGCCCAGCCAGACGGGATGGCAGGCCGAGGGCGGCAGCGGCGCCGACCTCAAGGTCAAGGTGGGCCGCCGCCCCGGCGTGCACTTTGACACCGCGTTCGAGGAGTTCCACGCCGCGCCTTCGCCACTGCAGTCGGGCACCCCGCCCTTCGGCCCCGACTCCGGCGGCGTGTACGACAAGCTGTACATCATCCTCATCTCCCTGCACGGCCTGGTCCGCGGCGAGCACATGGAGCTGGGCCGCGACTCCGACACCGGCGGCCAAGTCAAGTACGTGGTAGAGCTGACCAAGGCCATGGCCCTTCACCCCGCCGTGCACCGCGTGGAGCTGCTGACGCGGCAAATCACCGACCCGGGCGTGGACGCATCGTACAGCGTGGAGGAGGAGTGCCTGGCGCGAGGCGCGGGGGACACGGGCGGCGCCTTCATCGTGCGCCTGCCCTGCGGCCCGCCCGACGAGTACGTGCGCAAGGAGCTGCTCTGGCCCCACGTGCGCGAGTTTGCGGACCGCGGCATCGCGCACGCCGGGCGCCAGCTGGCGCGCATGGCCGAGGGCGGGCGCCGCTGCGAGCTGTATGCGGTGCACGGGCACTACGCCGACGCAGGGGAGGTGGCGGTGCTCATGGCCAGCAGCCTGGACGCGCACATGGTCATGACGGGGCACTCCCTGGGGCGCAACAAGCTGGAGCACCTGCTGAAGGGCGGCGCCATGACGCGGCGCGAGATCGAGGAGGCCTATGCCATCGGACGGCGCATCGAGGCGGAGGAGCGCGCGCTCGACACCGCGCTCATGGTCTTCACCTCCACGCAGCAGGAGATCGACGAGCAGTGGGGGCTGTACGACGGCTACTCCCCGGGTCTGGCCCGCGTGCTGCACTTCCGCCGCTCCTACGGCCGCCACATGCCCCTGCTCAAGGTCTCGCCGCCGGGGCTGGACTTCAGCAACCTCAAGGTCACCATCCCCGCCGACCCCGTGGTCAAAGAGTTCGAGGCCGCGCGCGCCGCCTTCGCCGAGCGCGAGCTCGCGCCCGCCGCGCCGGCGGCCCAGACCCAGGCTAGCGGTGACGCCGTTGCGGGGGGGGGGACGCCCCCTCCGTCCCCGGCGGCGCAGACCCCACGCGTGCCAGACACGCTGGACCCGCGCGTGGCGCTCATCCCCGAGGGCCCGCGCATCTGGCAGGACATCGCGCGCTTCCTGCGCAACCCACTGAAGCCCGCCATCCTGGCCATGTCGCGCCCCGATCCCAAGAAGAACCTGGTCACGCTAGTGCGCGCCTTTGGCGAGTCGCCCATGCTGCGCGAGCTCAGCAACCTGGTGCTCATCATGGGCAATCGCGACGACATCGAGTCCATGTCCACGGGGACGCAGAAGGTCCTGGTTCAGGTGCTCAAGCTCATCGACAAGTACGACCTCCATGGCAGGTGCGCCAAGTCTGAGGGGTCGGGGGGTCTGAAGGGGTCCGAGGGGACGCCCTGGCCTGCATCAGGGTGTGCGGTGTCGCGGGCCGAACCGCCTGCACCGCTCCCATGTTCCCTTGCCAGTCCATGTCATCCCCTCAAAGGGTCTCGAGCCCTCTCACCTCCTCCCAACACCAATCCCCCCCTTTTCGCAGCGTGGCGTACCCAAAGCATCACACCCAGGCCGACATCTCCGACATCTACAAATTTGCCACCTCCACGCGCGGCGTCTTCACCAACATAGCCCTGCAGGAGCCCTTTGGCCTCACCGTCATTGAGGTGGGTGCTGTGGGTTTGAACAGGAGACCTGGGCCCCATGGCCCTGGTGTCCTTTCACAGCAGCGTGCCTCATGTGGGGGAATGGGGCATGTTTCTTGACGCTCAGGGCCCTCAATCTCACCCCCTACTTCCTACCGCACCTTGGCTGCACTCACACACTCTCACACACTCTTCACACACGGCTGTACCCCAGGCTGCCGCGCACGGCGCTCCCACCGTGGCCACGGCCAACGGCGGCCCCGTGGACATCATGGCCACGCTTCACCACGGCGTCACCGTGGACCCCACCGACACCCAGGCGGTCATCGCGGCGCTGCTCAAGATCCTGACCAACTCCCAGACCTGGGATGAGATGAGCAAGGCCGGGGTCAACAACATCATGGCCTACTCCTGGCCCTCCCATGTCAAGCGCTACGTGGAGGCCCTGGATGCGGAGGTCCGCTTTATCAAGAGCTACAAGGTGGGCAGGCAGGAGTTGGTTTGCATGGGTCTCAGAGGCCGTGGGCTGCGACTGGCTCTGGGGCGGTGGGGCGCGAGCGCCTGGAAGCAAGGCGACAAGGTCACCATGCTCGTGTACCATGCGCTGAATGGCGGAGGGAGAGCATGTAGTACCCCCCCTTCAGCATCCATACCCCAATGGCCGCGCGCGCCCCCCCCCCCCTCCTCCCCATCCCCCCCCCCCCTTGACATCCCCTCCCTCCACCCATTCTTCCATTCTTGCAGCGCCATGACCGCACCATGTCTGGCCTGCTGGACAGCCGGGTGGCGCTGAAGAGTGCACTGGAGGACAACGACGCCCACGTGAAGAAGCAGGAGACCACGGCCATGGACCGCCACTTCAGCCTGCCGCAGCCCTCCCGCTCCAGCAAACTGGTGCGTGGAGGGGGGGGGGGGGGCGGGAGCAAGGGGTGTTGATGTCACGGGTTCCTTGCGATTCAGCCTGAAAAACTGACCCTGCTGATGGGTGCGTGCCACTCGCATGCTAGTCATACAAGTATGAGTGCAGAAAACTCAACGCCAGGCCACCCACACATATAATACACCCTTGGCTCCACCCCGCATACCACCACAGCATGGCCACGGGCCCAGCAACCTGCAGCCCATCCGCCGCAACATCAGCGGCATCAGCACCGATGACATGGCACTGCTGCAGAGCCATGGGGCAGAGGCACCCAAACCAAGTGAGTTGGTATTTCGATGGCAGGCGGAGGGAGCACTTTGAACGGAGCTGATGGGCGCTTCTGCCCTGGTCGCATGTGAATGAGAGATTTCTCGTATGGTCACTACTCCACCAGCTCGCGTCTCCCAGCTGCCTCCTTCAACGACTTCCTCCCTGCTACCGCTCGCACCACCACCACAGACAAGTCTCCCGCCGGCATCGAGCGCGACCACCTGGTCTTCTTCAGCCTGGACCACGAGGCATGTGTTGGTGACGTGGCGGCTGCCATCCTCTCCCTCCAGAAGAAGGTGGAGGCCGCTGGCGCCAGCGTGGGGGCGGGCGTGCTCTCCATGATGGGCTTCGAGACCTCCAAGGCCCTCCTCCAGGTGCATGGATTATTTTGGATACAAGTGTCAGAGGATGGGAGATGAGGGTGCCTGAATGCCCGACCCCTACATTCTGCTTGAACAGCGTGGTGGACAACATAGTCGACGCAGACACTGGGAGCAAGCCAGGGTGCGCATGCATGCATGCAATGTAGAAACAGAGCCTCCTGAGACCCTGCGTTGACGCTGAATAATTCTCACGATTGCCGCAAGCTCCCTGTCCCTACAGAGGGAAGGCGTGGACCTGGAGAGCATCGACTTCATGGTGTGCAACAGCGGCGCCGACACCTGGCACCGCGCAGACAACGGGGAGTGGGACGCCGACGAGGGGTATCAATGTGAGTGGAGTTTGGGGGTTAGGAAGGTGGCGCTGCTTGTTTGAATGGCAATCCTCGACAATTTGAGATTCTGCATAGAGACTTTGGTGAGGTTTTCTAGGTCGCTTGCGTTGCCAAGAAGTCCCCTTCCCCCATCTCTGTCACCTCACAGCCCTGATCGAGTTTGAGTGGGACCGGACCTCCTTGTACCGCACCCTGCGGAAGATCGTGAGCCGCCCTGCGCCTGGCGACAACTCCAAGGCCCTGCCCAGACTCAAGGTGGGTGTCGGTGCTGGAGAAGATGGGTGGGAGCCACAGGTTGCTGTCCCCTTGAGACCTGGATGAGGGCAACGAGTCATGTATAGCTCCCGGCCCTGGTGACAACAGCATCAGCAGGGAGTTGCCTCGCGCTCCATGCCTGCCTGGCATGCGGAACACCACGGGAGCTACAGCGCTCGGCACCCGTTGCGGGCTCCCAGCCTGCTGCCTGCTCCGCTCCCCTTGGCCAAGATCATTTCCAATCATATTCGAACCCACCCACACACCATCCCTCAACCCGGAATCCCACCCACAGGAGCTCCTGTACAATGTGGTGGAGGCCCCCGAGGTGGGCGTCCACCCGCGCCACTTCTGCATCGAGCTGGACCCGGAGACACAGTCCATCCTGGCCGTGGGCATGGGTCCGCGCGCCAAGGACACCAAGGGCGTGGCCCTGGCCGCCACCGTCACCGACCGCCTCAAGCGCCGCCTGCGCAGCAAGGGCTTCCGCGCCTCCTACACCCTGCAGATGGTATGTGAGGGTTTGTGGGGGTTAGGAAGAGAAGGGCTACCTTGTGTGGGGGCTGGTTACCTTGTTCACTGCCGGCTTGAATCAAGTGGCCGACCCTCGGACACCGAGTGAGCTTGCGTCCTCGCGAGCGGCCCCGGTCCACCCCCACACCCCGACTCCCGCTCTGCTCATGGCCCATTCCGCGCTGTCCTCCCCTGGCACAGATCCCTCGCGGCTCCAGCCACACCGCGGCACTGCACATCACGCCCGTGAGGGCCAGCCGCGCGCTGGCGCTGCGCTTTCTTGCCCGCCTCTGGGGCAACGACCTGGAGAGCGTGACCGTGGTGGCCCTCGTGCCCTCCACGCGTGGCGAGGAGGCAAAGGCCATGACGGTGTCCAGCCACACCAACGACCTGGCCGACCTTCTGGCCGGAATGCAGCGGGTGAGTGCTGGTCCTTGCCCCCATGGCACTGATTCCCTAGAGGGTATCCAGCCTTCTCTCCTAATGGCCCACCCAAGCATCCGATGTGGCTTGAACCCCCCCTTCCCCTTCTGCAATCCTCCCTCTACAGGCGGTGGTGGTGCCGGTGGAGTCCAAGGACAAGCTGCCCCAGGATGAGCTCCTGGACCAGTTTGGCGTGGACCTCCAGCCCTGGGCCTCCTACGGCGACCGCGTGAGCGTGGAGGCACCGGACAGCTTCGCGGACACGCTGCTGGCCAAGCTGGCCAAGTAGTGAGCGGGCGAGGGGGCTCCAAGCTCCGCCCAGCCCGGGGTAGAAGCGTGCTGGGACGAGGGCTGCGACGTGCTGGCCACTTGGCGATCCCCCACAGTACCAGGCCCCTGCACGCATGTGTGCCTGGGGTCGGCCGGTGCTCCCATTGCGGGGAGCAAAACTTCCCCTCTGAGAATAACAGGCCCCCATGCAATGCAGTAGCCACCCCATGGAACCCACTTGATCTTCACCTCTTTATACACCTTTCAAACAGGCCCCCAACACCAACCTTCACCTTGTCTGCATCCTTGTATTCTCTCCCCCTCTGTACTGGTTTCCTTTTGAAATCGCCTGTTGTGATGTTCCTGTGTGGAGAGTGCAACAAGGTAAGCGCGCGCGCGCAGTTACCATGCGCAGGGCAACTTGTCCGCAGTAAAGGCAGCACCATGCACAGGTAGCAATACGAACTTCAAATGGTATACATGCTGTAAATATACTTGTCTTGGACATATTCCTGGCTTTGAGGACAGCGCGATGGCAGGTGTGCTAAGGACGGCCTGTCGGGCAGCAGCTGCCTTCACCAGCCGAGGGGCTTTCGCCCAGCAGCTGCGCCAGGCCTTCACGAGCGCCGTTGAGGCACCTACAGTATGGGTGTTCCTGGGACCACCGGTAAGATCTCGGCGACCTGGAGAAGGGGAGGGCCAACCCGAAGCACGACGCGTCAACCATGACTAACCTTGCCACGCTCCCCCTTTCCCACGTTTAGGGCGTGGGCAAGGGGACCTACTCTGTCCGTGTGGCCAAGGCTTTTGGCATGGACCACATCGCAGCAGGGGATCTGGTCCGTGCGGAGATGAAGAGCGGGAGCCAGCTGGGAGCAGAGGTAGGTTCCCCTGGGGGTCCTGCAGCACGCGCTCCTCGATGCATCTGTCCGGCAGCCTGCCGCTTTGATGACCGCACGCATGCACCAAGCCTCTGCCACATTGCGTGCTCGCAGATGAAGTCCATCGTGGACACCGGGGCCCTCCTCCCCGATGCCCTCATCCTGAAGGTCATGCGCGAGCGCATGCGACTCAGTTCCTCCCGCGGCATCACCTCCTTCCTGCTGGACGGCTTCCCTCGCACCGCGGAGCAGGCGGATGCCCTGGAGGAGATAGGTAACGTCCAGCTCGCTCTAAACCTGTCCTTGCGGCAAGAGGTGCGTCTTTTGGGGGTGATTCTGCTAGATTGGGGGTGGAATGGCCGCCAACTAAAACTGGAAAGGAGGGCCGAAATTGAACTGGGACTCTGATCTCAGGCTCCAATTTTGGCCCCCTGCGCCATGCCCTGCATCCTGCCACTGTCACCGCTGGAGGGTCTTGGTGGCCCCCGAGTTGTCAGCCCCCAGCCCTCTGGCCCATGCTCCTTCCTCTCCCTCCCCCCTTCTCAACACCCCCTCAGATCCTGGTGGAGAAGTGCATGGGGCGCCGCATCTGCAAAAAGTGCGGGTCCAACTACAACATCGCGGACATCTACCTGCCAGCCACGGCGGATCAGCCCGAAATCGTGATGCCGCCGCTGGACCCGCCGACGGCTTGCCTGCCGCACCTGGAGCAGCGCAGCGACGACAACGAGCCGACCATTCGCCGGCGCCTGGAGGTCTACCACGCCGCTGCGCGGCCCGTGGAAGAGTTTTACGCTGCGCGCGGCACGCTGGTGGACTTTGAGATCACGGGCGGCATCCCCGAGACGCTACCACGCCTGCTGGAGGTGCTCAAGGGGCTGCCGAGCCAGCAGGAGGCGGCGGTGGCCTGAGCGATTCTGGTAAAACAACTTTTCCTTTTGTTTCACGTCGAACTGAACCTCTGTAGACAAAGAAATTGAGCCTGGCATCGGGTGGAGGGACTGGCGAGTACACTGGGGGCAGAGGAAGGCGATGCATGGAGGGCAAGGACCGTGCATGCACCAGAGCCGCCTACTCCTTCTGCTTCTTCTTCTTCAGCTTCTTTTTCAACGATTTGGCCAGCTCAGCCGCATCCGACTCCTGCGCGGCCGGCGGCGCCACCTCCACGTCACGTCCCCGTGCCCCTGCCTCCTCCTTGGGCGCGACAAATTCCGCCTCCCGTTTCCGCTTCCGCTCATCCGTCTTGCTGGCCTGGGCCGCGGACTTGGCCATGCGCGCGCGCGCTGCCTGCTGGTCCTTGGTCAGGAAGTACTCGCCCGACTCCAGCATCCGGTCCACCTTGCTGAGGGGCTGGGCGGGGGGGAAGGGGGTGTAGGGCGCCTTGGGCTTGATCACCGCCGCTCTCCGCTTCACGTTCTTCTTCTTGAAGTTGGGCAGGAAGCGGTCCCAGTTCTCCGTGGCCAGGGTGGGGTCCTTGGCCAGCTCGCGCTTGATCATCAGCGTCTTGATGTGGTAGATGGGGTGGATGTTCTTGATGCAGTCCTCCACCACACGACGGACCTGGGGGAATTGAGTGGGAGGGTGAGTGTTGTTTTTGTTGTGTGTGTGGGGGGGAAGGAGAATCTGCAGCTGATAGCAGCCCTCAGCTGACAAGTTGCAGCCCCGAGGGGAGCGTCAGCCAAAGCGCCAGGCACCGGAGGGCGCGCTCAATGTGGCGCACGGGGAAGCTCCGCACCCGCTTGTCCACAATGCACATGTCTGTCCTCATTCTACCAGTCGTGCTCCGCGACAACTTCCGTACCTGCTTGAGACCCTTCCAGCCCCCCATGGCCGCCACCGTGTTGCCCTGGACCAGGATGAAGCAGCCGGTGAGCAGCTCCAGGGCCTTCAGGGTTGCGCCGTTGGGCCCGATGAGGCGCTGTCGCCTCTTCGTGAACTTCTCCTTGTTCCGGATGAGGCCCCCGATCTTGATGATGTCGCACTGCATATCATCCTCCAACACCTTCAGGGCCTGCAAGAAGAAAGAGTGTTGGGGCGGAGGGGAAACTGTCTTGGCAAATAGCCCCAGGAGGACCCAGGCTCCTTGTAAATGTGCATGCACCATCTACATTGCACAGGTGAGTCAGCTCAAGCGGCTCCCCCAGGTCCAGGGATGCCCTCCGTGTCCTCCTCAACAGCCTCCACCCAGAGCAGCCCTGCTGCATCCTCACCTGGGGCGCGGGGACGCTGCGGGCCAGCAGCTTGATCACGTCCCGGGCCTTGAGGATGATGTAGGGATCGTAGGTCTTGAGCGTGGTGCGCACGGACATGGAGCCCTCCACCAGATTGAGCTCGCATGCCACGCCATGCTCCTTCAGGGCCCGGGTCACGGCTGACCAGACCTCACGCAGGTACTTTTCTGTGTCAACGAGGGGTTGTACGGGTGCTGGGAGCTTGCTTCTGGCAATGTGAGCCTGAACCACACCTCCTGATGATGGGATCCCGTCAGCGCATGACGGCCCAGCCAGTTCCCCAAAGCAAGCTCACCTCTATACTTTGGGAACAGGGTCGCAAAGGCGCTCTCCTCCAGAAGACCACTCGGATTCTCCTCCTTCTTGAAGGGTTGCACTTCCCAGTGGTTGATGCCGTCATGGTCCCATGGCTTCTCCTTGCGATGCTGCAGGGAGGTAGTGAGAAAGCACACACGGGGCATGAGCCGTGGCCGACGCTGCCGTACACGCAGCATACTAGCAGCATTGAGTTCTACCGAGTAGTAAATTCCTTATACCAGCCTGTGTTACCTTTCCCTTCACGCGCGGCCCCCTCTTGTCCTCAAAGGTGTCTCCGGGCTTCTCCTCCGCCGACTCGTCCGACATCGGAACTTTCCTCGCTTCAGCAAGCAGTGGAACTCCTGTCTCAGTATTTTGTATCAAATTTAGTCATGCATGTAATTGGTGTGTTGCGAGTGCATCGTCTGCATGCCAGTTCACACTCGCCCATGAGAACGACGGTGGGCGCGGGCGCGGCGACATCCATCCATCGGTCGCCCTCCCGATCCCCAATGGTGATTACCATTCTCTCACTATGACGAAATACCTGCTCAATCTTACAGGTATGGTACACTAAATGCCCAGCTCCAGCTTGAGCGCCTTGATCTCAGCTTTGCAGTGCTCATGGTGCTCCGCAGGCACCACCACCTGCTGCTTCTCCTGGCCCACATATACGGCCAGGTGCCGCACCGCCTCCGCAAAACGTCGAAACAGGTCGGCCGACTCAAAATTGCTGTAGAGGACGCTGCGCGTGGCCTGCAGTCGCCGCAGCTCCTTATCCCACAGTCGGATCTGGTCGGTCACCACCTGGCATGGGCAAGGTAATAAAGGCTGGTGACGGCACAGGAGCCTGACGCCAAATGCTCCGATGTCCATGCATGCTAGAACATCCCTTTCCCCCCCTCCCCCCCTCCCTCCCTTTCTCCTCACCCCGGGCACGGTGGGCACCCGGGCCTCCACGCGGGGGTGGGCGTGCTGGCGCAGGTAGGCCACGATCTGGTCGCCCGTGGCCCCGCTTTCCAGGGCCTCCAGCACGCTCTCGCGCGTGATGCTGCCCACAAACAGATTGGGCAGCAGCACGTCGCAGCGCACGAAGAACTGAAGGATAGCCTGCTGCACCGCTGAGGAGGTGTAGGCGTACACCCTGTGAGTGAGGAGGCGGAGGGTGGGCCTGGCAGCGGGGAGGTGGGGCGCTGGGGTGCAAAGGCGCACCTGGTGCGGCCCGGGCAGGGAGCCAATACATCCCCACCACACACACCGGCCCGTCACCTGAAATTAGTCTCGACGATGACAAAGCCGCGGGTACCCGAGGGCTGCGTGCCGCCCTCCGCCAGCACCCTGGCCAAGGGCGTCGCCAGCAGCAGGCGGGTGGTGCCTGCAGGCGGAGCGGCGGGCGGGTGTCCTGGTGGGCAAGGAGTGCAAGGTGCCCCAGCCACTCAGCAGTTGAGAGGCGGCGCCAGCGCCTGCCAGTCAGCGCACCGCAAGAATCCAGGCCATGCGAGTCCCTCTGCCCTGCCGATCACGGCACAACATACTGAGTGCCGCCCACCATGCTGGGAGGGCATGAGCAGACCCAGCTGGCACATGTCCAGTGCGAGCCCCTGCTCCACGGGGGGAAGTTCTTGCAGGACCAGGGGCCGACACCCCAGGCTGCCCAGCTGCAGCAAAAACTCCAAGACGACGGCGAGGCTCGCCTCTGCGTTTGCATGGGGGGTTTAGGATGTGAGGGGCGTGGTGGCACATCAGGCCGGCAGGCTCCTGACTCCTCGCTCCTCTCCCGCCCTCGCCCTCCCCACCTGTTCCCTCCACCTGCGCCGCATACTGCCGTAGCAGCGTCCAGAGCTGCTGAAAGGTGTCGAGGAGCAGGTACTTGAAGCCAGCCTCGGTGATCCCTGTGCCGACGGAGAGGCAAGAGGGGTGCATGGTAGGACTGTCAACAGAGCTGCGCTGGGCAATCAAATTTTGGCATGTGTTGAGCACCCTCCCGCCACTCACGGGGCTGGTGATGAGGGCCGTCGTTGGACATCAGGCCCAGGGCTACCAGGAGACCAGGCACGTCCAGGGTCCTGGAGTTCGCGGACGTGGCAGGGATGGTGCTGGCCGATCCGACCAAGAATAACAAGATCTCCTGTTGGGACGTACGCAGGCATGGATGAGGGTTTGAGGGCGCCCACAGGATGAGGGACCCACCGTTCGCTCAGGATGAGCGGCCCCCACGCCAGCGCACCTCCCATCGCTTCTGTGCGTAGTCTGCGATGCTCTCAGGGGTGACATTCGCTCGGGGCACATCCTGGAGACTTGAATTCCAGGCCAATCCCCTGCACCGATGGGCAGCTCCATGAGTTTGTTGTGCGAGATGAAGGTGACGTGTGTCAAGCACTCGATCACCCCGAAAATATGCGCACTTGTACGCACCTGGCCGAGCCAGAGGCGCAGATGTGGTCCCGGAAAGCATCGTGCAGCCTGTACAGCTGCTGTCCGAGCTTGTCGCGGTAGCCTTGGAACAGGTTGAGCCGCACCAGTGTCTCCAGCGCAACCTCATGGGCAGTGGCAGCCTCCCGCGTGGGCCACGACGAGATTAAAGCTGTGGGAGTAGGGTAAGAGAGGTGTGATGCCCAGGAGCATGGAATCATGCCAGGCCAACTCAGAGCCGGCCCAGGTGGGGAAGGGCCATACCGTCATGCAAGCCCATGCGCCCTGGCCGCACCTTCAGATGTCCCCTCCGGCACCAAGAGCAGCCGTGCAACATACTGAGCAGCTAGCGGGGGCAGGTGCTGCAGGATTACCCGGCAGATGATGGAACTGGTGTACAGGGGTGCAACCTTTACTGTCGGGAGGGATTCCAGGTACTCGATGATGTCCATCTCCTGGCAGCCAACACACAGTCTATGCTGAGTAACAATCTCTACTACATTGTGCGAATATAAATGTCAACAACGTGCTGTGGAACTCCACCGTCCCCCTGATCGCGTAAAGTCCTGGACATGGAGCAGCACCCCCAGGGCGCGCGGGGGAGCGATGCCGGAGCAGGGTTGTAACCCGGCAGGGGCACACACTTACACTGCAGGAGGGACGGCGTCGGTACCTTCTGATAGTGATGATGCGCCATAATGTGTTGTGATCGGAGACACGATGCCATCCTGAATTTCGCTTCAGCAGGATTGGGGTCTCACAGCCATGACCCTCGCACGCCGAGAGCTGTGAGGGCTGGCAACCCTTCCCTCTGAAGATCGCCGATGCTGGAGGACTGGTGACGCAGTGTCATGTCTGCTACTCTATCGTACCAGCAGCCGCAGAAGGTCCCGATGAAGCTGGACACCCTGTCGCGGATCCTCGCCGAGATATGCCAGCCAGGTGGGTGTGGGGCCCAGGTCATGGATGTCGTAGCCAGTGCAGTGGGCATATTTGCGCACGGTTGTGCCCAAAGAACTGCCCTGCCGATGCCCCTGCAGGTTTCCAGGAGCGCCGGGACGACCATGTGCTCCGGGAATTTGTCGACAGCGAGGCCCGCAACTTCACGGGAGAGAGGTTCAACAGGTTCGCCCTGGAGATGAACCAGAGGATCAAGAGTCTCATCCGGAGGTCAGAGGGGTCAGGAGCGTGCCCGTGAAGCAGGGTGCTGCTGGGTGGGGTGCCCCGCTTGGGGTAGCATCCCAGGGATAGGTGGCTCCATCAGCCCCCCCCCCCCCCCCCCCACGCAATGATGTGGCGGAGCGCATGGGCGGGCTGGTGGCCATCGAGGAGCTGGCGGGGTCCAAGATGTACAGCGGCTCCCCAGCCCGGCTGGCAGACCTGGTCAAGCTGCTGATGGAGGTCTTCCAGCCGGCCTCCGACCAGCAGCTCATGGAGTTTGCCGCGCGGACGCTGGGCCACACAGTGAAGGCCGGCGGGGCGCTGATGGCGGGGGTGGTGGAGGAGCAGGTGGGGCCTGGGTGGCCGGGGGCGGGGGGGTGGGGTGTCGCGTCTGCCGCCCGCCCGCTGGCGGTGCATGCGGGTGGGGTGGCGGTGCCGAGTGGGTGACGGCATGTCGAGAGCGAGGGGAGGACCTCGCGGGGATGGTGCGAGGGAGCCGCACCGGCCCAACCCCAGGGCCAGCCAGCACTGCCCTGCCACCCTCGCGCCCCTCCCCTCCCAGGCCCCCCTCCCCCTCCGACCATCCCCACGTGACCCCCTCCCCCCCCGCCACCCTGCCCCGGCAGGTCAAGCTGGGCCTGTCCTGGCTGAGCGACCGCGCGGAGTACCACCGCCTGGCCGGCACCCTGGTGCTCCATGAGCTGGCCATCGCCGCCCCCGCGGTCTTCAACGTGCACGTCAAGGTGTTTGTGGAGGCGATCTGGAATGGCATCCGCGACCCCAAGCTGCACATACGTGAGACGGCGGTGGCGGCGCTGCAGGCCTGCCTGGTGCTGATCGAGAAGCGAGAGACGCGCTACCGCGTGCAGTGGTACTACCGCCTCTTCGAGCAGACCAAGGCCGGCCTGGCCCGCGCCGCGCCTGTGGAGATCGTGCACGGCTCCCTGCTCGCCCTGGGCGAGCTGGTCCGGCACACCGGCGAGTTCATGCTGGCGAGGTACCGCGAGGTGTGCGAGACGGTGCTGCGCTTCCGCGACAGCAAGGAGAAACTGATCCGGCGCGCCATCATCACGCTGCTCCCCCGCCTCGCCGCCTTCGCCCCGGAGCGCTTCACCAAGTCGTACCTGGACAGCGCCACCGAGCACCTCCTGGCAGTCCTCGGCTCGCCCGCCGACCGGGGGGCAGGTGGGCAGGGACGCCGTGGTTGTTGTGAGGAGGAGGGGGGAAGGGGGGTGCAGCAACATGGAGTGAGAGGTCGTTGGATGGCCAGCGGCCAGGGGCAAGCGCAGCACGCCCATGCGCCTTCTGCGTGCTCTGGCACCCACTTCCCCAGCGCCCGCACGCGCCGCTGGTGAGGGGCCCCTGGGTTGCTTTTTCTGACACTCCGCTCTCTTCCCATCCCCTACACACACACAAAACACCAGGTTTCGCGGCGATCGCGGAGATGTCGACGTCGCTGTCCTCGGCGGGCGTGGCCAGCAAGCTGCGACGCGGGGATTACCTGCGCCCCATCGCGCTGCACATCCGCGATGCGCTGCTCGGCCGGTCCAAGACAAAGGCGCCGTGCTCCGAGGCGCTGCACTGCGCGGGCACGCTGGCGGTGGCGCTGGGCCGGGACTGGCAGCCCTACATCCCCCTCCTCCTGGAGCCCATGTTCCAGACCGGGCTGTCGGGTGGGTGGGGGGGGTGGGTGGGGTGGGGTGGGGGGGGGTGGTGAAGGCGGGGGTGGGGTGGGGTGGGGGGACCACACGCGAAGAAAAAGCAATTAGTTGGAGTGGGTTTGAGAGGATGTCGCAATTATCAAGGGGGTTGGGGTGGGGTGGATGTCCTGAGGAGAGCAGGGCGCCCCAAAAGCTCGCCTGACTAGCGGCGCGTCGATCCAATCTCACGCCTCCCGGTTTCTCCACCCCTTCGCCCGACCTCTGCTCCCTCCTTTCTCCCCTCCCCTCCCCTCTCAACCAACAGAGTCCCTGGTGCACGCGCTGCACCAGATCACGCGGGCTCTGCCCGACCTGCTCCCGCGTGTGCAGGAGCTGCTGCTGGACCTGCTGTCGCTGGTGCTGGCGCGGCGCACGCACGGCGCGCTGACACCGCCCGCCACCGTGGCGGCGCTGCAGGCCGCGCTGGCAGTGGGCGAGCTGCAGGGCCAGGCGCTGACGCGCATGGCGCTGCAGACCTTTGCCCAGTTCCGGTTTGCGCCGCACTCGCTGCTGGAGTTCATCCGCGACCATGTGGTGCCCTGCCTGGACAACGGCGAGGCGTCCATCCGCCGCGCGGCGGTGCTGGCGGCCTGCCACGGCGTGGAGGACCACGTGGAGTACGGGCGCCGCGACGGGCGTCGCATCCACTCCTCCCAGCTCCGCATCGTGGACAAGGTGGGTGGGTGTGGGGTGTGGTGGTGGGCCATCACTGGTGGTGGTTTCGGGGGAGGAGGTTGACTGGGGGCCGGGATGCCGGTGTGATGGCAGGTGGGAGTATGCCTGCATGCCACTGGACCCGTCCCCAGTCCCAATCTCCGATCACAACCCCAGGTCAACCCCTCTGGTGCACTCAACCCCCTGACCAAAATAATCCCGTTCAGATCGTGCAGCGGCTGCTGACCAGCGCGGTATCCGACCTGGCGGTCAGCGTGCGCAAGGCGGTGCTGCAGGCCTTTGTCAAGGCGCGCAGCCTGGCCTCCAGCCTGGCCCAGTCCGAGGCGCTGGGCATCCTGTTCATCGCGCTGAATGACGAGTCCAGTGGCGTGCGCTCTCTGACGCTGCAGCTGGCGGGTTCGCTGGGCGCGGTGAACCCGGCCTTCGTCATGCCCGCGCTACGCCGCCACCTGCTCCAGCTCCTCTCCGATATGGAGTGTGCGCCGGACACGCGCCAGCGAGAGGGTGAGGCCCGGGGGGGGGGGGG